ATTTTGAAGTCAGTTAATTAGTGAATGTAACATTTTGACACGAATAAAAAATTGTTAAAACAAAATTGAATTTTATGTCAAGGTTCTTTAAAGTTTTCGAACTAAATACACGTAAATAAATTTTAAAATACAGTAGTGAAGCATCCTGTATCTTTCTTGAGGTAGTCCATATTGATTTTCGGCCTAAACACAAGTGTTTAAGGTTCAAAATACGATGGCAACCATCTCTTTGTTAGATAAGAGATATAGATGTAAAGCTCGGTTTCCATCAATACGGAGCGGAGAAATAATTTAAGCAACCAACCAGATTTCATTCTGTCAATTTCATTTACCATGAGTGGCTCGCTAGCGAGTGCGTCAAAAAATGAAGACTTTACTTTTTGAAAGTAGCCGCTAAGGGCGCTGCACAATCTGTCATACATTCTAATGTCATTTTTTTACAGTCACTAGCGAACACACTTAACGTAAACTCATGGTAAGCACACTAAGCGACAGCGCATATTGGGCGACAAAATGCGGCGACGGACGCGGCCACAAAACGCATGCGCGCGTCATTTCATATTAGCTGTCGTTGCGACTCCGCGACATGTCGTCTGCCGCCGCGTTTTGTCGCCCAATATGCGCAGTCGCCAGAGTAAATACAAATGAGTAGGTCATCTTCATAGAAACGCACCGAACGCGGTTTGTATGTGAGCGCGCCAATACGTATGCGGCGCGCACGCACACACTGACAAAATTCGGCGCAACTCCCGATAATCACGTTAAATTCGGCGCAACTCTCCGATAATCCACGTTAAATTCGGCGCAACTCCCCGATAATCCACGTTAAATTCGGCGCAACTCCCCGATAATCCACGTTAAATTCGGCGCAACTCCCCGATAATCCACGTTAAATTTTGTCAGTGTGTGCGTACGCGCCGCATACGTATTGGCGCGCTCACATACAAACCGCGCTCGATGCGTTTCTACGAAGATAACCTACTCGTTTGTATTTACGCTGCAGTCGCTTATGTACGGTGGAAACCAGGCCTAATGGTTTGTCGTTGAAATACGTTCTACAAGCACATATAATACCCGTTCGCTGCCGTCTAAAACCTCTGCTGGAAGTTGGGCTGCTGCTGCGACTGGCTGCCCTGCTGTTGCCCTCCGAACATCATCTGCTGTTGCTGGTGGAACTCTTGCTGGCCGCCGCCTGTCGTGTTGTTGCCTTGGTTCGGACCTTGAATTTGAGTGTTAGGATTATGAGTCTTTTTAACAAGACTTTAAAGTTCAATATGAAACGATTTTTTTTATATTCTCTGACGAAGAAGGTGCACTTCCCAAAATACGTACTTTTCTGAGTAAAAACTGAAGTTTTCTTCTTTATTATTACTCCATACTAAATTGCTATTATTTCGAACTTTATGAGTGAGATAAGCTTGTGGCATTGGAAAGAAAGAAAGTTTTTTGTCATAAACGACGATATTTACTGTCAAACTCATAAAAACTGATTTTGATTATGATAAAATAATACATAAATCTTAATTTAATCTTACCTGCCATCCTCATTCTTTTGGCGTTGTTGGCACCGTGGTCATGGCTGTTTGCTTGTACTTGATTTTGTTGAGTCTGGAAAGCAAATGTTCAAAATTAATAATGTTTCTTACATCATTACCGTTTTCACTTCACTCTCACGTCTCAGACCTAAGAAATTAACTGAATAAGAATTTAAAAACTAAGACCAATAATATCAGTTTAAGCAGGCCTGTTCATCTCCGCGAGTTTACATCGAAAACAAAACACGCACGATGGCCCACCTACAGGATACTATTCGACAAGGCCTCACATACGAGCGAACATTGACTCACGCACGCGTATTCTTGTGTATGATGGAAAAAATAAAAAAATGGTGTACTAAATACTGTGCAGTATTTAACTACCTAAATAATAATAAAACACAGAATGTACTTTTTTAAGTTGNGCAGTGATGTCACTGCCGCTGTCACAGCTAACTACTGCCCCGCAATGTGACGTCACTGCCGCTGTCGCAGCTACCTACTGCCCCGCAATGTGACGTCACTGCCGCAGCAGTTAAGACCCTGTAGGCCTAGGATGCGCGCCGCGATAAGCGGTTATCACGCCATTTTATCGATTTTTCCCATACATTTTGACGTCGATAAAGTATATCACGGCGCGCATCCTAGCCGGGCAGGTCCGTGATGTTACAACATCAAAACGCCTTAGGGCTCTTTTGCAGATAAGACACCAACATGTAAAAATACATGAAAACGTTTGAAGCCACGCGGCTCACCGGTGAGCCTCGAACAATAAAATACTTAACATTTAGTTAATTTTGATCTATTAAATTAGATTTATGTCATTACGTTGCAGCTACGAAATGCTACGAAACCATTTGGTACAAAAGACATCAACAAGTCAGTAGCTCGATAATTTTAATTACCCTACGTTATTTTGTCTTAAACATTATTAAAGGCTTGATTTTTATACATTTAAAGACATTATCAATTATTATGACACTGTTGTGTTGTTTTCTTTTTAGGCATAATTCGATACCATGATTATTTCCATCATGCCCCAACAAATTACACTCGATTGCATGAAAACCGCAAAACTTCTGCAAACTGCCATATCTTCAAAAACTTGAAACTCAATCGTGGTCCATGATCACAACTTCGTCCCATTCCATTTCAGACCTTATTCTTTTCGAAGTACGATCTAGTTTTAATATTTCCAATGTCAACTATAATTAGGCTAAAATATGAGGTTGACTCTTAAATCAATGTAGAAAGGTTGGGAATGCCTTGCATAAGTAAGATTATAATCTAATAGTCATAACCACGACCGAGCAGTTACAGTTCATTAGCAATTGAATGTAGATCCGAACCTCTAGCATGAACAACTTTCGTCTTCGAATCGTTTGCGTATTCGACAAAATTCGATACTCAACCTTTGAACCCAACGATAACGTGACAATTTTGATTCTCAAAATAAGTTTCGTGCAACCATTTCTCATACTAAGTTCACTTTACGAAACGTTCACAAGGGCGCTGTTGTAGTTTTCGTACTAAATCTTTTGATGCACTTGCCAAATGTTTGTCTCAGAGCGCTGGAAGGGCAAAAAAAGAATGAGACATGTATAGGCTCCTTACGAGCATTAAAATTTGACGATTTGTAAGTACTAATTTAATTAGTCTATACAAATAAAGATAATTTTGACTTTGATTTTGATGGCGATTCGAACTCGAATGTTTTTCGTGCTAGCCGTACCGAGCGCTGCGCCGGCGCACGACGCGCTCATTTGCCGATAACGAGAGCAATCAGCAATGGGTATTTTGTTTATATTTACAACGGAAGGGTGAGAGTTCAAATCCTAGATACTATCTGTAACTTAACTTTCTTCATAACACAAGATACAAACTGCTTTCATAGAGATAATAGGTTTTATTACAAAAAGTTAAACGCACGTTTAAATTGAAATTTGGTATTCCATACCATTTCCCATGTAATTTTTAACAAGCATTGAACGTGTGTTTCACTTTTTGTAATAACGCCGAATATGCTCTCTTACCTCATGGTCCCTATTTTAGTGTTTAGTTGAGGAAAAGTTAAAGTGTAAATAAAGCTATTAAGTATTGGTTGTTTCACACTACTGTACAGCAAAAAGCTCTTCAAAGTGCAAAAGTAAAGCTAGATCATCTATCTTGCCAAATCTTTTAGGATTGAACTTTCAAAAGTCAAAAGCTCATTGTGACTGAGCACTGATCATGAAATTTAAAAGAGCTATTTGCTTTGTTCTAAACACTGAATAACCGTACGTAGTACATTATAACTCAATGGAATAACCTGAAAGATTAATAGCGTCTTGCAAGATGTGGATTTGCATTACAACATCATAAAACACAATTAACGTAGATGTCAGTCAATTTTTATAGCTAAACTTGAAAATAAAATACAAGACAAAAGTTTCTTATGTTGGACCATAACATTTAACAAAATAACTCGTCGAGTCGATAATAATTAATCTCTCTCTCTCTCAAAAATAAAATAACACACGTAAACTACTTATTGAAAAATATATTTTTTTCCGAATCAAATTAACCGTAGTAGTTGTTATTCATATTAACTTGTCACGTAGCTGCGTAGGGGTTAACGATTTTCCGCAAGATTTTCAATAAAGATGTATTGATTAAAAACATGCAAGTCTACGGGTATTAAGGTCGTTCACACTGAGCCTGTGAATCTCAAGAGTTAAGACATAAGTAGTATGACAGCATATAAGACTATACAATTTATTGAAAAATCGACCTTAATACAACTAAATAAGATTGTTGTTTTTATCTTGATATGCTGTCGCCTGTACGTGCCTGCGGATGACAGCCAGATGGTAATCGCGCATTGTTTCCGCGGGGAAATTGTAAAAACGCATAATTACCGCACATCCATTCGTTTGGAAGGAAGTTAATGTAATGATTATACTTAAAAGGTACGTTTATGTGTCAAACACGTATTTCCTTTGGTGTGGAGATGCATCAAAATTATAAAAATAGTTATTAGTTAGGTACTTAGTTAATGTCTGGCTACTTTTTGTATGATAATTGTAGGTAATACCACAGATAAGTACTTTGTAATACTCCAGTGGAGATTAAAATAAATGATCTAATGATGATGCCTATCGTAATCGGTTTTGTGTATTCCATCATAATAAATGCAATAGACAAAACCCCGAATATGTCATTTTTTCAAAAGGGTGGAATTAATTGCTCATGGAAAGCCTGACTATTTTTAAAGCATTTTTTTAAACCCCTTGTACTAGCTAAGTCTTGTATGTTTATGTTACGATTGGATATACCAGTCGTAACACAAGCGTTTCAAACCAGCGTTCCTCGGACCGTCCGACACCTTCACCGTTCGACTATTGTCGCTGCAAATATTGCGATTGATTTTATTCGTCAATAAATAAGTAACTAACTATGTATGATTTTCCTTAGTTCCGAACGCACATGGACTCGGTGTACGACTTCATCGTGGTGGGCGGCGGGTCGGCGGGCTCGGCGCTGGCGGCGCGGCTCTCCGAGGTGCCCGAGTGGCGCGTGCTGCTGCTCGAAGCTGGTATGTACACAGTATACAGGGTGGAAACGATAAGTGATTTCACTCGATTATTTCTAAACAATACAAGATATCGAAAAACTGGTTACTGATCCTAAAAGTGCTTCACGAGCTCTTTCAAACGGTACCAATAATAGATTACAGAATTAACTTCATCTATCCAAAAATTCAATGTTTTCAGCTTCCATACTAAATGCCACACAATATTAAAAGTGTTAATTTTTTTTATTATAATAAGCACTTAAAATGAACTCGTAAATTGCATTATTATTTAAATTTATTAATGGAAAACATTGGTTTTAGGCTTTACTTGCTATAATATTATCAAAATATGAGTGTCATGACTGTGGCAGTACTAAATTTATGGAAGCTGGAAACATTGAATTTTCGGATAGATCCAGTTTATTTTGTAACTTATTATTGGTACCGTTGGATAGAGCTCGTGAAGCACTTTCAGGATCAGTAACCAGTTTTTGAATATCTTGTATAGTTTAGAAATAATCGAGTGAGATCACTTATCGTTTCCACCCTGTATAGACCTTAAGATATCAGACTAACTATACTTCCATTTTTGTATGCAGAACAAAGCAGGTTTGACGGCAATCACGCCTGATGTTACTAAATGATGTAGTCTAGGATGACACATACCTGCCCTGTATAGTGGCCCGGATTATAGTGTTTGGAAAAGACAGCAGCAGGCAGCAAATTTGTATAAAACATTGTACCAATTGTAGGCTTAGAGAGAAGAAAATTATAGAAGCAATATTACGTTTAGTAGCAAGTATAACTAGCATAGTAGCAAGTATAGGTAGCGGGAAGGCGCTGGATGCAGGCCGCTACCAACCGTGCGATGTGGAAGTCATTGGGGGAGGCCTATGTTCAGCAGTGGACGTCCTGTGGCTGAAATGATGATGATGAATGATGATAACTAGCATTATTCTTATCTTCTTTGCGAAAGATGTTATAGGTATTAAGGTTTCATGCTTTAGGAAAGAAAAGAAATACATTTGGGTCGAAGCTGAAGGCAGAACTAAGTGCGAATCTCGTATATTTCATTCACAGGTTTCGACGAGCCCACGGGAGCTCAGGTGCCGTCTATGTTCCTGAACTTCATCGGCTCCAGCATCGACTGGGGCTACCAGACCGAGCCCGAGCCCGCCGCCTGCCTCGGCGAGAAGGACCGCAAGTGCTACTGGCCTAGGGGAAAGGTATTACCAGTATTACCGAATGTCACATTCTATGACATGATCGTTAAACCAAATGACGTCTGCTACTGGACAATAATATTTACAACATGAAAGCATTTACCTACTTCTTTTGAGTGTGCTTATGAATAAGATAAGAAAAACTTGAAAGGTGTTTGAAACAAAATGAGACTCTACCTTTCTACACACCAAAATCGAACCGATGTGCGCTGGTCCAGTAACATATTATTTGAATGAAAGTCTCAATCCAAAACCTCAATTTAAATCACTTAAATACCTATCTATTCTTCCATCCAATTTGTGTAAAGAGCGGGTTCCCCATAAAGATCCAGTGGTTAACAAGTTCGACCTAGCATAATTTTGAGTTCAAATTAAGATTGATGCCAACCGTCGGACTATCATTGTTCAAGTTTTTTAGGAAAGATTATTTTCCTAAGCCTAGACACAGACCACCGATTTTTTGTTGGCCGATAGTTTAGTCGGACAGTTACTTTATCAGTATAATCAGTATTGGCATGTATGTATATATTTTTAAACCGGCAGACAGTGGTGCAAGAACTAATTTAATTAGTCTAAACAAATAAAGAAAATTTTGATTTTGATTTTATGGAACTGCGCACATTACACCGATTTGGTATCGGCCAATTCTTCATACAAATTAAAATCAGGCCCAATTATCGGCCAATTCGGTCGGTGGTCTTCGCCTAGGCTTATTGAAATAAAAATCTTTCCAAAATGCTATATCTGTTTCACACATGTAATTTTGTCCAGGTGCTCGGCGGAACCTCGGTGATGAACGGCATGATGTACATGCGCGGTTCTCGCAAGGACTACGACGCGTGGGCGGCGGCCGGCGTCGAAGGCTGGGCCTACGACGACGTGCTGCCCTACTTCCTGCGCTCCGAGGACAACAAGCAGCTGGACCAGATGGACCAGGGCTACCACGCGACGGGCGGCCCGTTAACTGTCTCGCAGTTCCCGTACCATCCCCCACTGAGTTATAGTCTGGTGAAGGCTGGAGAGGAGTTGGGTAAGAGATGCTTTGTTCTAGCACTAAGTGTCCTCTGTATCCTATGTCTATCGTTTCGAGGACAACAAGCAGCTGGACCAGATGGACCAGGGCTACCACGCGACTGGTGGCCCGTTAACGGTGTCGCAGTTCCCGTACCATCCCCCGCTGAGTTACAGCTTGGTGAAGGCTGGAGAGGAGTTGGGTAAGCTGGCTGTTTAAGGAGCTTAGAAACAAGCAGCTGGACCAGATGGACCAGGGCTACCACGCGACGGGCGGCCCGTTAACTGTCTCGCAGTTCCCGTACCATCCCCCGCTGAGTTAATTTTGTCAGTGTGTGTGTGCGCGCCGCATACGTATTGGCGCGCTCACATACAAACCGCGCTCGGTGCGTTTCTATGAAGATAACCTACTCATTTGTATTTACTCTGGCGACTGCGCATATTGGGCGACGGCGCGCACACACACACTGACAAAATTTAACGATTATCGGGGAGTTCCGCCGCATTTTGTCAGTGTGTGCGTGCGCGCCGCATACGTATTGGCGCGCTCACATACAAACCGCGCTCGGTGCGTTTCTACGAAGATAACCTACTCATTTGTATTTACTCTGCAGTCACTTATGTACGGTGGAAACCAGGCCTAATGGTTTGTCGTTGAAATACGTTCTACAAGCACATATAATACCCGTTCGCTGCCGTCTAAAACCTCTGCTGGAAGTTGGGCTGCTGCTGCGACTGGCTGCCCTGCTGTTGCCCTCCGAACATCATCTGCTGTTGCTGGTGGAACTCTTGCTGGCCGCCGCCTGTCGTGTTGTTGCCTTGGTTCGGACCTGGAATTTGAGTGTTAGGATTATGACCCCATTACTAATAAACAGCATCGCAACCGAAACGTCAAGCCGTGAGTACATAATGTAACTCATTAATAAACGTCGCGTTAAGACAAGTCTTTTAGTTAAAAGTTATTCACTAGTTGAACTTGTTTAAAGTGACGTTTAGTATGGAAATGTGTGTGGAGTTTAAGGTTGAATATGGAGTAGAATAATTTTAATGTAGCGTAGAATAATTTAAAGTTGTATTTTTTTTTAAATTGCTAACATAATTTGAACTTTATTTAGATAAATTAACTTGATTTGAATTGATCAAGGAACATCGTAACGGAAATCGCAACGTGGGATATCCATCCACAAGATCGACGACCTCATAAAGGTAGCAGGAAGGCGGAAATCATTGGGGGAGACCTATGTTCAGTAGTGGACGCCCTAGTGGATGTCCTATGGATGATATGATGATGATGATGAAATATAATTTTGATTTTTACCTGCCATCCTCATTCTTTTGGCGTTGTTGGCACCGTGGTCATGGCTGTTTGCTTGTACTTGATTTTGTTGAGTCTGGAAAGCAAATGTTCAAAATTAATAATGTTTCTTACATCATTACCGTTTTCACTTCACTCTCACGTCTCAGACCTAAGAAATTAACTGAATAAGAATTTAAAAACTAAGACCAATAATATCAGTTTAAGCAGGCCTGTTCATCTCCGCGAGTTTACATCGAAAACAAAACACGCACGATGGCCCACCTACAGGATACTATTCGACAAGGCCTCACATACGAGCGAACATTGACTCACGCACGCGTATTCTTGTGTATGATGGAAAAAATAAAGAAAATGGTGTACTAAATACTGTGCAGTATTTAACTACCTAAATAATAATAAAACACAGAATGTACTTTTTTAAGTTGCCTCAAGACACTGAGAGGTAAATAAGTAGTTAATATTATTCATGACAATTCATGCTATAGTCTATCCAATATAGCTTGATTAGAATGACAGCTGTCAAACGAATGTGACTAGTGCTGGGATACGGTTCACATAGATGTATCGATAAGTTTTCGAAAAAATGATATAAAAAATGCACCCAATTTTTCTTCATATAAAAATGACAATTATGATTTAAATTTAAAGACAGTAAAATTTAAAATTCATGTCAAGGGTGTACTACCTAAGTCGTAGTCATTATCATCAGTGTTCTTTAGTGGTTTTTTCCTCTCGCTAGAGGGCGGTGGGCATCTCTTCTAGAGCAACGGTGCTATGAATACCGAAAAAATTGCCGGTGATTGATTTCCGATGTTTGATTATTTAAGAATGAAATGTTTTTTGGTTTTTAATAGTGAACATTTAGAAAAACGTATAACTTGACTTAAATATGTTAAAAAATTAGTAAGAAAAAAAATTTGGTAAATATGTTAAAAAATTAGTTTTAATTTAATATGACATTTGTCGATATGTCCCAACACTAACATTTTTGTATAGCCTGACCAGGAACATAAAAACCCTCGCCATGTTGCGGAAAACTAATGGTACTAATTTCTTTTAATGGCAACAGTAACTGAAAACTTCATTGACATGTCACCTTGCATGTCAGTCTATTGCTGTCAAAGTGTAAACAAACTTTATTTTAAATGTGCGCAATTGATTTTGTGAATTAAAATGCTAAAATCTTTTTATAGTCTTGAAAGAAAAGTGGTTCACAATGTGTTAAAATATTTGTCGAAGAGAAAAGGGTTCGGACAATATTTATATTGAATAATGTTTCCGACAAAGGTTGTCAAATTGACTGACATGTTTATCGTATAGTACAGTCCACTATGAAAATTAGCTGTGGTTTGTTTCAAATACCTATTTTAAAGTTTTTGTCACTTTCTAAGTGTTGAATTTTATGGAATTGGGAAAGAAGTACCGAGTTTGAAGCGTTCATGAGCAGACATTGCAGTTGAACATTCAAGTTCTGAATTTGATTATTGATGAATAATAAAATAAATCCTACTAACTCGATTGATGGTTTCATTTAATTTATTTAAACCAGGTTACCTATAATAATATTTTTTCGTTAATTTGTGAAAATATCAAATTAGCCCCTAATCCTGAATCCTGATACATAAAGTTAGCCTATTAATTTAACACAGGTACGACTGTACTCTGTACTCTGCACTATCAAATGCAATTGACGCGCCTCTATGCCAGGGTTTTTATGTTCCTGGTCAGGCTATAACTCGAGATAACCTTGTAGAGACGTCGTTAATACTCTAGTTTGATTTTTATAATTTCGAATTACTACAAATTGGTGTAATTTAACGCTGCATTTACACGAAATTAACATTTTTATTGGAAGCACTGTCGTCGAAAATATTGTTTGTAGGTCAGACGTGAATTATTTCGTCTGCCAATATTTAGCTCTCATTGATCGCTACTACAAAGTTATGTCGTTACTTTTGATGGCAGCTGTCATTCTAATCAAGCTATATTGGATAGACTATAAATCATGTATTTCCTGCGCCATTTTCCGCAGTTTGGCACCTCACGTCACATCATTTTACCGAAGTCAGCCCTATAGCTTCGGCGCAGTGCCGATCACTGACCTTTGTCAACAAAATGGTGCTTGACTCTTGAGACAGGCTAAATTACACCATATTGTTAATGACATTGAGCATACATTTTTTTAAATACCTTCGCGAAGTAAAACTTCTGTACGTTAGTACTTATTATTATTCTGTGGTTTAAGTAACAAAAAAATAATTGTAATGAAGGCTTGCGTAATGATGGCTATCTTTTTAGCGCTCACCAGGATGGCGCCACTGTAGAGTCATTTCCATCGGCAGTGGTACCAACTGTTAAATATAAAACCGATAGCCCTCACTGCAAGCAAGTGATATGAATAACTAATGAGTGTGCGCCACTGGCGAGTGACGGGACTTCATGCAAAATGACTAAAAAACATTTTGGTAATGATGTTACTAAGCCCGCAAGATGTAAAACATATCGCCCCCCAAAAGATACCGCACTACCAGCAGTAGAATTAGATTTTAAATCGGAAATAATTCCTACAAAAGATTCTATTGCTTTAATGTCTTTATTGGTTGCCCATTAAGATTCTCCTAGGTTTTCGACTTCGACGGAGTTGTGCTTAAGTGGTGGGGGCCCCCGAAAGGGTCGTATTTTCGGTTTTCCGGTTATACCGCGTAAAGGACTTACCCTATGGAAAAGTGGTCTTCATTATTGTTGAAGGGCATTTAATCCTGCATTGAATAAAACCAAATTCATATGTTTGTAATGGTAATCAATGTTTGTGTTTAATTCTACTGGTCTACTAATGGATGCAGGACTCGGAAGCGAACTATAAGGAAAAAAGCGACGATCACAATAGATCGGTATCGCTCGTAGTGATACTGGGACTTCATAGAACCAGAATAGCCGCTCAAGAAAAAACAAGTTACTTACATTGGGTTGTTGCTGCTGCTGATTCTGTCTCGCCTTCGAGTCGCTTTTATCCTCTTGGTCGTCGTCAGTCAAAAACTCTCGCTTAGGATAAGGTATGGGACATCCCGCGAATACATCCTATGAAAAATATTATTTTTAAAACTTTCTAGGTGGTTTGTTGATAGTTGTAATAATATAATTTATCATCAATTTAACAGCCCGACACTTTACGGTTAATTATAGTACCTCTATAAAATTAAGTGGTCAAAAAATTCACCACAACATGTTATAGGTATCTACTACTATGTGTTCGCGATAAGTTTGCCGCTGGCGATATGACGTCACTCGAAGAAAAGCGTCTATAACAATAGCAAACTATAATAAAAATATTTTTTATTTATTTATATTGATAAAAATTGTGTATTTGCGTAAAATAAGACACTTAATTGCGTTTAATCACTAACTAATTGCGTTTAAAACTTAGCGCGAACGGGTAGTACAAGGATTTTGATAACAGGAACCATGTTTACACCCGTATGCACAAACATTACTATGAGGTCTCACAGTGCGCGTGGACGCACAGGGTGACACAAGAACCAATCACAGAGCTCTATTCAACACTGTGCGTTCGATTTGCTGCTTCACCTAAGCAAGCATTGTTTGTGAATACGGGGGTAAGTGTCTTGCCTTTGATTGTCATAGAACTTCACATTTTTAGATAATAAGTTATTACTAATATTAACAATTACCAAACATTATTATGTACTTAAACCTTGGGGGGAGGCCTTTGTCCAGCAGTGGACGTCATTTGGCTGAAACGAACGAACGAATATGTACTTACAGGTGTTGTAGGCGGATCTTCTGTGAAGTAGGGATCCTGCATGGCCTGTTCGGATGTTATTCGCCTATTGGGGTCCATAAGAAGCAGCCTTTGGAGTAAACTAAATGCCTTGCTGTCTGGCTTGATTTTGTGCCTATCCATGTATTTGCTAAGTGAGCAGTTTTGGTAGCTGTAACAGAAATAATGGAAAGCATGTAATTAATATGCAATCAAACATTTATAACTAGCCGTGGGTTTGTGAATGACAAAATGGCGAGACCCCAACTTTTATAGTTAGTTGGTTTTGCAGAGAAATCGAATACCGCACTTAGCCTCATGATTGGGCCATTGTGTGCGGTTTGAGGTTAATCTTCCAACTCCAACCACCCCAGATCCCCCAGAAAGCAAGCAACCTGTCTAGGACGCTACAGGTAGAGTAAATACAAATGAGTAGGTCATCTTCATAGAAACGCACCGAGCGCGGTTTGTATGTGAGCACGCCAATACGTATGCGGCGCACACGCACACACTGACAAAACACGCTCGGTTTTTATGAAGATGACCTACTCATTTGTATTTACTGTGCTATAGGCCTTCTGCTGTGACGCTGGTGATGGTGATCCCAACTTGTGTATCAAGTATTCTGTGTTCATTATAATAGTGCTTGTTATGGATTTTCGTTTGGTGTCCACTATTATTGATATTGAGATTCACTATAATATGCATACTTGCAGAGTAAATACAAATGAGTAGGTCATCTTCATAGAAACGCATGGGCGCGGTTTGTATGTGAGCGCGCCAACACGTATGCGGCGCGCACGCACACACTGACAAAATTTAGCGGGGATTAGCGGGGAGCCAGTCGTGGTTGCGCGGAATTTTGTCAGTGTGTGCGTGCGCGCCGCATACGTATATTGGCGCGCTCACATACAAACCGCGCTCGGTGCGTTTCTGTGAAGATGACCTACTCGTTTGTATTTACTCTGATACTTCTAGAACTTACTTAGACCGTTTAAAATCCTTAACTAAAGTGGCATGCTCAGGCATTTTCTTTATGTCCTCCCAATCCTTTTCTTGGGGGAATCCCATTACATTGAATATCCTGTCCAGTTGGTCATGGTGGTATGGATTACTTGTCTTGATGTCTTCTTGACGACAGTGGAATATGGGCTCGGATGTGAGCAGTTCAGCAAATATACACCCAATGGCCCAAATATCTGAAATACATACATATTATAAAAAATAAAAATAAAATAAACAAAAACAGTTTGGTTAATGATGAATTCATTAAAAATATCTGTTTTGCTAATTCTTGTGGCACCCTGTGTAGGCAAAAGCCTCCTCCATCTTGCTCTACTTGCCTGTCCTGGATTAGATCAAGCCTTTGAATTTATTTTAATTATGTATTACTAAAATGAGACAACTTTATTTTACATAGATTTCATTCTTAGTGATGCCATCTTTTATTTTTATTCATTATGAATGTGTTAATATCTTAATAATATTGTTAGAAAGTTTGTATGGATGTCTGGATGTCAATATGTTTGTTACTTTTTCATGCAAAAACTGCTGAACGGATTTTGATGAAACTTTACAGTATTACTGTTTATAACCCAGAATAATATATAGGCTATAATTAATGACGATCTGTGACAAACTAAATTTCACGCGGGTGAAGCCGCGGGCAAAAGCTAGTGTGTTAATAAAAAACTTGTTTCAATTTTAATATGCAAATCAATGTTTATCGAAGCTATTATCACTAAGTCTACATACATAAAATACCACTATATAAAATGCCATTACGTAAAATACCACTAACTACACACACCGGCAGATTTAGNCATAAAATACCATCTTCTTCTTATTTTCGTGTCGACAACAAACCTACACAGTGTCAGCCCAAAACTCCGCCACAAGAGTGGCGTTGTCAGTAGCACTCATCAAATCCTCCTGAGTGCAGTTGCTTGGGCACTCAGGGCATGACATCAGGTGCTTCATCGACTGGGGAACAAAACCGCACCTGCACTCCATGTTCAAGCCATCCAAGAATCCCCACCTGGCCAGATTGTCCTTACTACGGCCAACCTGCGTCCGAAGTCGAAGATAAAATACCATGATACTTACCGATAGCTTTGGTGTAATGTCTGGCTCCTAGCAGCAGCTCAGGAGCCCTGTACCAGAAGGTCACAACAACAGGGTCCAAGTCAGCGAGTGGCTTTAGTGGTGCATTGAAGAGTCTCGCAAAACCCATGTCAGCTATCTTCACCCTGCCTCGTTCCGGACCTTCACCCATTACTAGGATGTTCGCTGGTTTCTGAAATAAATTACACATTAGGGGCCATCCATAAAGTACGTCACACTTAAAGAGGGCGGAAGGGGGTCGACAAAGTGTGACATGGTGTGACAAGGGGTGGGAGGGGTCTTAAGTTTCGTGACAATTGTTTTCCCTTCCGCCCTCTTTAAGTGTGACGTACTTTATGGATGACCACTTACATACATTATTNCGACAAAGTGTGACATGGTGTGACAAGGGGTGGGAGGGGTCTTAAGTTTCGTGACATCACATTTCAATTGTTTCACATTTCAATTGTTTTCCCTTCCGCCCTCTTTAAGTGTGACGTACTTTATGGATGACCAAGGGGTCATCCATAAAGTACGTCACACTTATTATCGTGATAATTAATAATTTAATTCAATATGTATGTAAGGACATAACATATTGAATTAAATTATTAATTATCACACCACACAACAGAATGCCTAGATGCAAGTGGCACAGGACCGGTCTTTGCGGAAATCCTTGGGGGAGGCCTTTGTCCAGCAGTGGACGTCTTTCGGCTGAAAAGAATGAATGAACGAACAACAGTAATTAGTTTATCTCTAAAATCTAGCTGCTACTATGCTATTTTTATGACTTTTAGTACAATGCTGAATAGCTGAGACCAAAAATCAATATTCAAACAACCAACTTTCTGAGAAAAGTTCTATCTTCATAAAGATATTATTGTTACCCATTTCATGATCATCATGACAGCTTGGAAGAAAGCCAATAGACAGTTTGACACCATACCCCAATAATTCGAAACCACAACTGTTTTAAAAAGACCCTTCATTCTGGTCTTAAAAACTTAATTTATTTTAAATTACCAGTAAATTACGATTTTTGTTCGCATTGTAATTGAAAAAAGTTGTTTAATTGAGTTGACAAAATAGTGACGTCACTTGCTTGTAGTGCTATACAAAATCTATGGGAGAGTTTTGTATTGACAGATTTAAAAAGTATGTCAATTGACTGTGGTGTCAACATGTCTATTATTTACTTTTTATTTTAGTACCTATTATTAATTCTGAACTTACCAAATCTCTATGCAGTACCCAGTTGGAATGTAAGTAGTGAATGCCATCCAAAATTTGGTAGAGCAGGCTCTTGACCATTCCCTTTGGGACCATCACCGACTTCTTATTTGCTTTAGCGGCTCTATGAAACTTTATAATGTGCCACAAGTCATGCTCAGCATAGTCAAAAAGTAGCCAGACCTTCCGATCTGTGTGCGAAAGAAATACCCTGATGAGGTTGATCACATTTGGATGTTTCAACTCACGGAGAAGCTGTAAATGGAAAAAGGCAAGTTGTTCAATCGTTTTTAAATGGGTTATCACAACAAATATAGAATATTTCTCGACTACTTCATTTGCAGCTTAAGCATCACTTTAACAAACCAAAAAGTGCAGTAATGATCAGGCACAATTACAAATTCTTTAGTATAAGCACTACCAACTGTCTATTAAATTGCACGTCTATTGTGTAAATAAAGTTGACTACAAAATAAATGGAAAACGTCGCTTACTGCGATTTCCCTACACGCCGACATGGACAAACCAGTCCCTTCGATTTGCTTCAAAGCATAGTCCTTTGTGTCGGACCCATCTTTTCTCCTTGCTTTGTAAACATGTCCGTAAGTTCCTCGCCCCACCTTACAACCCTCGAAATCAAACAAATCCTCCACTTTCGAACGCTCGTTCTGAGTCTTCACTTTGAAGTCATAATCCATCATAACAGGCGCCATTGTTTTGTTGTTTTGGAAATTGTCGCCCATTGTGATTGATTTTAAGCACAAGGTTAATTCATAGTTTAATTTATTAGAACTTGTTACGAGCACTGCAAGTTTTTGAATCCGTTTTACAAAATTAATAAAATTTCTATAAAAAATGGAGCGTAGACGCTTGGTTAGCAAATTTGACATTAAAATGACATTTTCAAAATAGCATGGCATTCATTCACCCAGTCACTCATCGTTCACTATTTTAACGATTGATTGACTCAAGGTTGGTGCATTCCATGAAGCTAAATCATGGTGCATTCTTACCCATTCTACATCCCACAACAGAGGTATAGATGACCCACGCTGAACTGTCCCGCCAAACTCAATGACAGGGGGGCGCTACCATCGTTCAACTATATGGTTTCCAACATGGCAAAAATCTGAACCAGCGATCCGGTATTGACGGTGGCGCCCCACTGTCAATGTCATCGACAGGACAGTCCAGTATTTTTGAACTATATAAGGTGTTATTTTTTGTACTGATCATACTTTACCAACGCATCTAATAAAATCATACAAATACAACCCAAGTGTTTATAAAAAAAAATTCAGGCTAGTTTTCGAGTAAAACGACAAAGAATGTTTCGAAAAAAATAAAAAATAAATCATCCTTTGAGCGCGGTGAGTATTCGTTTACGCACTATCGTAGTAGCCGGCCGAGGGCAACGACCGCTGCCACGTGCCGCGCCGCGTGAGTCGGCCATATTGATATCGCTGCCAGTCGCTCCGCGCCCACAGCCCGCGCCGAGCCGCCGATCGGCATGCGGGAGCGCAACAACATAAATAATCGTACCAGTCCGTCCAATGCGCCCAAACGTGTTGCAGTGTATGTGCGAGTTATTACAATGCCGCGCTTGATCAATAACAAAACGCTGGTGAAATTATGTTTCGGGCACACTAACTGGCCGACGAGAAACATTGACGAGTCGAAAACCTTCATACCTTGCTTGTTTGGAGCCGCGTAGCGCTTCAGGGAGCGCAGCCGTATCCTGACTTGACGAGATCCCGTGCGCTTCGAGGACGAAGTTCTGGATTTCAATTTCAATCACCGGCACAGTGCTGGCGGTACCCAGATGCGAGCGCCGCAGACGGCGGCTTTTGCGTAAAAATACGGAATGCCTTATCAAGGAGTTGTTGCCAGAGGGCCACGCACACACACACACACACACACACACACACACACACACATATATTTCTTGTATTTATTGTAATTCTGATACGAGTAAGTTATATTAAAGTGTAAAATTAAAGCTTATTAGTGACCTGAGATGGTGGGAGCCTGATGACCTGTAATACAGGTATACTAAATACCTAGCATAGGCATCAGACTCACACAAGAATGAACATCAAACGTATCTTATACATTCACTATGTAATTCTGTTGGATTTTTTTGTGTGAGTAAAATAAAGATTTATTTATTTATTTAATTATTTATTATTGACGCCACTCATTCTTAACCACTAATTCGCTATTCATTCATTCACCCCCTTTCACCATTTTCACCACTCTATGCCACTTTCTAGTCTGCTCTAGTCTCTGCTCAATAATTATGGAGGTCGAGTATTCGATAATGGAGAAGCCATAAATACGGATTACGCTTATGGTCAAATGTTAATGGTCAATAATTATTAAATCATGCTTTTGTTAAAGCCTGCTGTTCATAAGTTTTTATTTGATGTTCCTAAAAAATAAGATTTGTCATAAAAATCTTATTAACAAGTCAGTTACAGTAATACCCCGCGTAATAAGTACCGGTAAATTAACTCTCACGTAATGAGGATCATTTCGATTTTTAGCTGTGAATGCAGTTTTATAGGGCTAAGAAATCCTTAATACACAGTGCAAAAATTTTTGTTCTACGACAAAAATTGACGAAGTTATGGCCAAATTACTAAAAAAGTTCACTGACCGCCCGGCGCGGGGACGATGACGTCATTATATCCGATCCGAACGCTGCCGGCGCGTACTGCGTGGATAGAAAATATTTTTTTCTAGCCAAATTATCAGTTTTAGAGAAAAACTTGTAATGACATTTATTCATCAGAATAAAGTAAGCTATCGATAGGTAATTTTTAAAAATGGAAATTGTGAAAAATAACGCAAAAAATCCATACGCTCATACGATTCAATGGCACGCAGAGACGCGATTGGGGTCTCCGCGGTGGTATATTTGGCGATTTATTCAAATAAAGTGTACATAAGTGTTGTTAGAGTCATATCTTCTTCCAAGTAAAATATAAAAATGTATAAGTATTAATTTATTTACTTCTAACAATAAGGTATAACTTCTAACAATAAGACATTGCTATGAAAATCATTTCGATGTACACTTAATAATACCTACCTGTTATTTAGTTTTTCTGAGTTAAACCTACGCACCTACCTATCTATTCGCCGTTCCCATGGGCGGGCCAGCTGCTGCAGGAAAGGACAGCCGCTCCGTGCTGGAAATCTATTTAATCTTAGCCTAGAAGCTGGGTATGACTACCCCGCCCCTCTCCTCTCCCCAGGTCATAAGCTGGGCATGACTTCCCCCTCGGCCAGAAGTTGGGTATGATTTACCCCTTAATATCTTCGTAAGTAATGGTCCGATTTGGATAATTCAAAAAGATATATCTTTCTTATGTCTTAAAGATTAACGTAGATACTAGTTTTATTGAATTTTCTACAACAGTACTGATCCTCATTATATTAATTTAGTTAATTATAATTATAATAATTAAGTAAGGTTACTACCTCTTATTAAAGGTAACGGGAAGGCGCTGGATGCAGGCCGCCACCAACCGGCCATTGTGGAAATCATTGGGGAGGCCTATGTTCATCAGTGAACGTCCTGTGGCTGAAATGATGATGATGATGAAGGTCCTACGTTCTGCAAAAAATCGCGTTATGTGAAATTCGCGTAATACCTATCAGGTTTCACAATAAAAAAAGAATCATTTCGAACACTTTTATTAGTCAGTAGGGTAATTTTTATACGGAAAAATAAGTACATCTATTGAGTTTTGAGTATCATTTCTTTTACGTTTTTGTAAAATACGTTTTTTTTTCATCCCTGATTTTTTCAGTCAGAATGGTAAGAGAAAGCGGGGATTCCCGCGACTAGCTAGGGCGACCATATAAAGCGAGCATCACAGATTAGAGAGCGAGCATGACAAGCAATACGCATCATAATATGTACCTAAAATATTAGGTGCCTACTTATAATAAAATAACAAAATAATAATAAACTTAATTTATTGTAAAATTGATTACGACAAAATAAAAAATTAAAATCTTAGAACCACACATAAATCATTTTTTTAATCACTAGGTACCTACTATGAACGAAGCTACGTAGGTAATAAACTATCTATCTATGGCTACGGTTAGTGATGGGCCAACTCGGAAAAAACAAAACTCGATTTAACCCGAGTTAAAATCCACATAACTCGGGTTGAACTCGAGTTACGTAACTCGAGTTAACTGGATGGACAAGTAATTTTTTATAATAAAATTACTAGTTTATTCCCTCAGCTTCGCATTAATAGTTCAAAAAATTGGATCTGCATTTTCCACTTTCTGAAATGGCTGCAAATCTTTGACTATCAGATTAATTAAAGCGTTATCACCAGAATTTTGCGATATTTTTTTACAAACGACCTTAACCTTTTTTAAGGAGGCTCAACATCCAATGTGGTTGTCGATACCAGTGACTGCGTTGAATGTTTGTTATGAATTATTGAATAAACGAACATAGTCTCACTCAAATGATCGGCAAAATTCGCTCTATGTCGGTTCCATTCGGTTCACGAACTCGACTCGAGTTAGAGAGAATTCAACTCGAGTGGATTCGAGTTACGCCCAACTCGAGTTAACTCGAGTTACTTACTCGAGTTGACCATCACTAGGCCTACGGTGTATGCAACCCTCATTAGATTGTATGATGATAAATTAATTTAATGTATCTAGATTTATGATGAGACTAAACTTAGAGTAGGTAGGTAGGACTAGTTTACATCATGTAAGTAGGTAAAAAGTATGTTAACAAGTTTCAATCCAATTTCATTCAAAAGACTGTTTTTTTTACAACTTTTTAAAAACAATGCATTTTCAATGTAAGACGAATCCTTCTTCCTGAGAAAAGCATTTTAAAATAAAATACTGCTCGTATACTTAACTGTTTGTATCAAAACACCTATTTCATTTCACGTCCTTGCAGGTAGGACGCTCAAATCCAGGGGCCAGACAGTCTATAAATAAACAGAAATCAATAATTTCAAAGAGTGATGGCAGACAGCGATACCGTCCAATCAGAATTAACTATTCGGGAGATAAATGCATCTTGCTATATGCATTTGCACATGCGCCGTTTGTTGGAGGGACCACGCCGCCCGCCGTTATGCAATTGATGTACTTTGTACTTCCTTTGTTCAAATAGTGGCGAGGTGGGTTATTGAAAAATGATGTTTAGTCTTAGTAAAATGTAAGCAAAAATGACTAATAATAATTAATGGCATTGCACAAGAGATGCAATTCCGTTTTTTCCATTATTCTATCAAAATCAAAAAGTCCACTTCATTTTAAAACTAACTAAAACCCATAAAATTCAATATATTTTATTACTTTATTAAGTTTAGAATAATTTCACTTACTACTTATGATCTTATCATAAAATTATAAGATGATGCTATGATTTATTTTGTTAAATCTGTGTGTGCAATTATTTAATAATAATAAAATTAGTATCATCTCATGAGTTAGTGGGGAACATCCTTTCACCAGACCTTTCATAATTCATCATCTTTTCAGCATCTTCTTTTCAAAATAGGCACCGAAGTTGCTCGAAAATAAAGACTAACCAGTGTGTTGCCATCAATGAAAGAACAGAGACATGGTCCTATATTTAATTAGGTCATTGATAAGAAGGCTGGAGGTCTCCCAATGGACGATGGAGCGTTCTATGCTCGGAATTTTCCTTTATATCGAACCAGAAAATAAGAAATCTGTAGGAGAACCAAAGTAATCGACATCTTAGCCCTCAGAATTGCAAAAATGATAAATTGTGTGAGGCACATAGCTGATGGCCGTTGAGGCAGAAAAGTTCGCGAGACCACAGATTGGAAAACGTAGTTATTTAGTGAGAGACAATAAGTTATAATCTAG